TAATATTTGTAATACAATTCATGATTAAATTAAAATTTAATAAACTATAATATTGCAAAACTTATTTAAATGTAATTAAAAATTGTTTTCATAAATATAAAATTTGTGAGATATAATGTACTTTATGATAACTAAAATTTTAGCGATACTTAAGAATTTTGTCTACCGTCTAAATAATATTATATCATTTAATGTATTATATACTTTATTTACAATGAAAAATATATTATAATATCAATTAAATTGATTAATTATTTAGATATTTTTATAAAATTATATTTAAAACTAGAATAATTAATCATAACATTACTTAGGAAATATCCGTGATACAGGTACGCTAACAATAGTACTAATGAAACTAATAAAAATGATCATTATTATATTGTGAACTGAATCCCTTCAAATAATACTAATTCAGAAAGACGAAAAGTGCACAAGAAATAACAGTAACATACAGCAATCATTATGAACGAAATTGGTTAGTGTAGCCAAACACTAACCAAACGGTAGAGGCTAACAATTGGCGCCACACTCACACATCTTCGTTCATAATGATCGCTGTATAATAATCAGATAACTTTACAATAATAAGTTTTCCCTTCCACAAGGGAGGTGGGAGGGTAGTGAAAACTAATATTATAGAGGCGGTAAATGTGGGTAACGGAGTTTGTGGTCAGTTTTTGAAGCATGTGTTTATGTACCGTATGTTTCAATAGTGCCACCCAATAATAAAGATTACATAATGATGCGGTGCGCCTATTACAGTGGCCGCGCCACTGTATCATGGATGCACTGTAATAGGCGAACCACATCATTATGTAATCTTTATTATTGGGTGGCACTATTGAAACATACGGTTCGACACATCGCTGCCATCTATAAAATAAACAACTTTTCAGTCTCTATTGGAAATTTGGAGTAGAAGAGCCAAGTGTCAAACACACTATAAAATTATATTTTAAATATAAATTATTATAAATTAGTAATCATTCAGATATACATTATTTAAGTTAACAGTTATATGAAGCACATAGGTTGTAAAATTTCTTATAAGCAATTGTTAACCACAATTCAGCTATGAATAATGTGGTTATAATTGGATCGTTCGGCCCCTTCTCCCTCCCCCTACGCTCAATGGAATTTAACATGGGATTACAGCTTAAGTCTATAACATAGGTTTAACATAGATAATGCTAAATCTATGGGATTAATGTTAATACAATGGACATTGTCGAGTCTATGGCAAGTTTATTGTATTAATATTACATTTATGGACAATGGTAATCTATTCTTTGAGCTAGTGACCGAAATGTTGACAAATTCTTCGACCCGACCCAACCCGAACCCGAACAGACTCGACCCGAACCCTATATCCAATTTTCAAACCCGACCCAACCCGAACCCTAAACCCGAAAAATATTACAGTAAAGTAGTCTTTACAAGCGTTTCATTACATTTATGACGTTTTGTTGAACTGCTGCCACTTTTAAACTATAGAACAATACTTTTTGACTTCTATTAGTTATATAAATATGTGCATAAAGAAAACAATTTTATGAGTTCACGCATGTATATTAAGTATAGGGTTTGCTTTTGGGTTTAGGGTCTGATTCGGGTTCGGGTTCACATTGGCCCAAACCCAAACCCGAACCCAACCCGAATTTTAGAAACTGGGCCCGAACCCGACCTGAACCCTAAAGGGTTCGAATTGGGTTCGGGTTTTGGATTTCGCTCACTACTTTGAGCAATACCCGAATTGTGGGCAACGGAAAGCATAGCTGTGTGAACCTTGTATTATTAAAAAATTGCTTAAAAATGACAAAACTAATCAACGCAATGACGTTGAGATCACATTTGAAAATACGATTGTGCCAAATTTTTGATAATTGCAAATTATATAATAAATCTCATTAAAATATTATTTATTGATTAAATTTCTATTTAATATGAAGTTTGTGGATTGATTGAAAATCAACCACTATAACAAATTGGTTACGAACTATTAGATTGATCTTCCCGTGGTGTTTTGTTTAAAACTGACGACTTAAACGTTTTTACTGCCCGTTGCGCTACCTATTTATGTCACACTGTGAATTTGAATCTGGTCAATCTAAAAACATTTTACCGATCAATAAATTAAATGGAAGCAACAAATCATATATGTATTGTGATTAAAAATCCAGTTTGACTGAGGTGACAATAAATCATAATTCTACAGTTACTATTTTGTCTACTTCACATTAAAATTCTATATGACTAATTATAGTTACCGTAATGTTAAATATGTAAAGTTATTACAAAATTTATGAATATAAAATCTACACTATTTATCATTATGGAAATAATTACTTTATAGCTAGATGTCCAAAAAGGTAGGCTTTGCCTATATGCTCCCATAGACAATACATTGGGATTTCAATCTTTTTTCAATCTTTTGGACGTATAGCTTTATAGCGTGTATAAAATAAAATAATATTAAGAAATGTCATTTCATAGTTTATGAATTTTAGATTTATGATGCTATATTTGCAAAATTACTAATTTTAAAAACCAGTTTATATCAACAAACTTAACATTCATTAATCTTTATATTGATTTAATTTCTTGATAGTATGCAGACACGATTAAATAAAATTATTAAAAATATAATGCAATTATAATAAAAATTAAATTATTTACTTCCAATTGTAAACAGTATTGAATAATATTTCTACATTTTCTTTAAATAATGAATACAATTGATGTGAACAAAGTGTTGGCACCGTCTGTGAGGGTGCGATCGGCGGGCAGTCATCTCTATAGCATTGGTCTCTCATTATATCCAACGCTTTCACAAAACAGACACTTCTTTCACAAACCAATTGTTGTCACAATTGTGTTAACTTTGACTGTAATCAGGGTTTTAGTGTCGCTATTATTGCCTGAAATGAATGACAGAATGTATTTATTTACCGGAGATTTCATACAAATCTCAGGTTTGGGAAATCAATTCAATGTTGTTTTTCTATTCGCATTACTAATCCCTATATTATCGCAATTATTGAATTACTATAACTATAAACACGATATAAAACCAACGAATTTGCGTGTATTTCGTATGCTTTCGGGTTATATAACGCCTCAAAGTATCGGTATTTCAGACAAACAACTCGTTTATAAATTAATTCAAACGACAAACATTTGTTTTACATTTTCAACTTTTATAATGAGAATAATACCAATTATAATAATGTTTGAATCTTTATTGCCGTTTATTTTGAAAGTATCAGTCATTGAAGTATTATTAACTCAAAACGGAAAACACTTTGCTAAACTATTTAAGTGGATGTATGGGATGTGTGCTTAACATGTTTTCATTCATTAAAAAAACACATACTTAAAACCCACCCTGTATATTAAACAGATGTGAATTAAAAACATATTTGATATAATTATTTGAATGATATTTAGCACAAAATGAATTCGCCATTTAATTATCGGGATATTTTATCACAATCCCATATAATAATAGCAGTAATTGGCTTGATCATTTATTATTTAGTTAATTTCTATGTCAATCTACGCAACTATCCACCCGGTCCTACACCGCTGCCACTGATTGGCAATATATTACGTAAATATAATTAATAAATATGTAACAATTGATATGAACTTTGTTGATTTCAAAATAATTAATAAAATGGTTAATTATCATTAAATAGTATAACTTGAGATAATTATAGCCAATGATGTCCAAAATCCTTATAATTTATTGAATATCTGAATTAATATTTCATATATTGTTTTAAAAGTGTTTCGCAATATTAAACGGCACTTGAATGAGGAGTTGAGACAGTTGTACGAAATATATGGTCCGGTAGTGACGGTATGGGTCGGACCCAAACCAGTTGTGTTCGTTGGAAACCCCGCTGTCGTCAAAGAAGCCTTTTCTCGGCCACAATTCATGGGACGAATGGACACAATGTTAAGTATGTTTCAAATCTGACAATTTAATGTTTTACACCAAACTTTACTCATGTGTAACTTGTAATATTGTCATCTCTCTCTCTCTCTCTCTCTCTCTCTCGTATTGAATATATTAATTTAGATTTAACATTATTTCTATGTAAAAATTCTTTAAACTTAATTATGTTTCTAAAAAATAGGGCATGTTAAATGGCCCTTCTGAGTTATTAATCGGGGTAATATACATGTATATGACAAGGCTATGGAGGTGTAGAGACTTTTGCTTGTTTGGTGGGCTATAGATGGAGTCCAGGTCTGGTGGGCGTGGCTGGACTGGGGCTGGACTCCTCACAAACGGTAGTTTAGCAATAGTTTTGTGGCTCTTTTGCCCGAATAGACAGCGATTAGCGTCAGATTGTCCTCTGGTTAAGCCTTCACAGCGAGTGTTGGGTCCCAAAGCCTTTGTGTGCCGTCAGGGCTCAGGGCTTACTCCTGGTCTCTTACTGTCGTTCAGAGACCTAAAGCAATACACATAGGGTAGTCAACTCATAAATATTTAATAGTGGACCGCTGCTTTAAAATAGGTTAAAAATAATGGACATACATTTTTCGCCATATGAAAGACTTTATCGCATAGTAAGGTATATACCATTACTCAATGAATGAGTTTTTATTAACAACTTATGCATTTACAATTATTTACTAATTTAAACTTGTGGTCAATGAATAGGATATACCTTACTATGCGATAAAGTCTTTCATATTTTTTATATCAATTTTATCTATTTATCACTTTTCTTCCCAAATTTATAATTATTTATATTAATTAATTAAATAGTATGATATATAAGTATCTTTTACTTATGCAATGTATATGTTGTCAAAGTTTGGGTCCCAAAGCCTTTGTGTGCCGTCAGGGCTCAGGGCTTACTCCTGGTCTCTTACTGTCGTTCAGAGACCTAAAGCAATACACATAGGGTAGTCAACTCATAAATATTTAATAGTGGACCGCTGCTTTAAAATAGGTTAAAAATAATGGACATACATTTTTCGCCATATTTTTTATATCAATTTTATCTATTTATCACTTTTCTTCCCAAATTTATAATTATTTATATTAATTAATTAAATAGTATGATATATAAGTATCTTTTACTTATGCAATGTATATGTTGTCAAAGTTTAATTATAAATTAATTTCCTCCAAGATCTATTAAAGTGATTTGTAGAATAAATCTTAAAATGTTTAAATTTATTAGTATTACTAGATTATTTTATAAACTTTATAATCAAATAGAATTTAAAATAGAGGACACTTAAATCATTGTATATAAACCTAAATTTTTCACTACAATAAGTTATTGTCAACTACTCTACTAGTCCACGATTTATCAATAAATAAACACTTATTTAAATACTTAAATACTTAACATAATTGATAAATGGGTTGAAATTTATGTTAAATATTTCAAGAATAGTTTGAAATTGAAATTATAATGAAATACATTGATGTTAAGACAAAAATAGTGATTGAATTCTTAGAATGATTTTCAGGACACATTTACAAATATATATGAGTCGAGCAATTCATTCAATACAAATGTGGGGCAAAGACAGAAGGGATAGAGCGGGTGAGTAAGAGTCAAAGCGAGTGTGAGATACAGAGAGCCACTTAGAGTAGGAAAAATATGGATAATTTAATATTTGGTGGAAATTGATAAATATTGTTGAATTTTTAGCTCGTATTTTCAACAACAGAGAGCACCGGAACGTTGCATTCAATTCGCACCAATTGAGCTGGGAAAGTTTACGAAAAGTTACCCATATGAGTGTCAGGTAAAATTACTGATTATATCAATGCAAACTCGCTATTAATTTAGTGCCATAAATTTATTTAATTAAAAACGATCACGATCTACTATTTGTAAAGATTGTTGTCCGAAGGTTACATGTATTAATCTTTTATTAAAATACATTGTATTGGGTAACGATATTTAGAATTTATAAAAATTTAATAATTATTTACATTCATAGAAAATTAAAAATATCTAAGTTATTTTTATGAACAGAATAAATGTGCTTGCTAAAAAAAAATACTTCCTATATTTATTATATGAAAATATAGCAAATATTCCAAATCAACGGATTTTACGCATTCCGTAAATAAATTGGTTTCGGTATTCACTACACAAATGATGGCCAAAGAGGGCATTAATCGGCCGTTTGTTCCGAAAATATATCTCTTTGAAACAATCTTAAACATAATTTCCGTGGCTATTGTCAACCATAAGTAAATATTAAACATTAAAATAATTACTTACCGAAAATGATTAAAATTTTCAGATTAGATGATGAATATTTCACCATATTCAAATATGTGGCTACGTTATTTTCGCATCATTTAGGCAACAAATATATTCTCTACGAATATATACCGTATTTTCGTCCCTTTATGTCCGACCCGTTAATTAAATTTTGCAGTCATTATAAACAATGTTTAGATTATTTGCTAAACGTATTGAAAACACACGAAATGACTTACGACGAGAACAATTGCCGAGACGTTTGCGATATGTTTATCGGCGCTAAACGTAAGGCTGAGGCCGAGTGCCGGCCGGGGGTGGAGTGGCTTACAGATGACAATATAACCGCAACCTTTATAGATCTATTTGTTGGTAAAATATTTTTAGCAAATAACCTAGTACAAATAAATGCTAAACTAAGTTAAAATGATTTAATTAATTAATCATCACTTACGTTAATATTTATTCAAAATGTATTTTAAATTCGATTTTTATGGTATTAGATTATTGTCCACCGCAGCTATGCTGTATGCGCTGTGAAGTTACCGACCATAATAAACAGCGTATGAAACTCCTGACCGAGCAAAAGTTGAGGGCAGAGATCGATGAGGTGTTGGGCGATAGAGTGGCCACAATGCGAGACAAACCCCGTATGCATTGCGTGCAGGCGTTTATCGCAGAGGCTCTACGCTATCGCACAGCCGTCCCAATCGGCTCTCCACGGGTTACACTATCGGACACTACTATCGGTATACTGAATACTATAATAACACACTTTGACAAAAAATTACCACGTCTTTAATTATTGTTATTTATTATATATGTTATATTACTTTTTATATTTGACCAAGCTGGCAAATACCCAATACCTGCTCAAACGATGGTGCTGCAACACACTTACAATATGTTTATTAATAGTAAATATTGGCCGCGTTCGAGCATATTTCATCCGGGTCGGTTTCTGGACAAACATGGTCGTTTTGTGACATTGCGCTCGACTTCATTCATGCCTTTTGGCGCCGGCCGTCGTGTATGTCTCGGGGAAGTGATGGCCACTAATATTGTGTTTATATTTGTGATCCGATTCCTGCAATTAACACGCGATCATCCGATTAGACTGACCCACAAATACCGTACGGCCCATACGTTAGAGCCGG